AAGGTCCCAAGCCATTCTCACATTCATATATATAGAGATAAAATGGCTTTTTACTTTCACATGTGATCTCAAAAGTCATAAGATTTTTGGCTCTTGAAATATCAACCATCAGTGCAGCGTACAACTTGCATCCAATAATCACGTGGTAATTCTTCAAGTTTCAAAAAGCACCAGCTCTAATAATTACATGTGCGACCATAATCACACAATGTATTTTGGGTTCTGGTGAAACTAACATACATTTACTAGGGGCTACAATCACCAAAATGCATCAATCTACAAAAGGACACAGTAGAAGTACATCTTCATTGGTGGGGCACTTTTCACTAGAGTGAACCAAACCACCAAAGCCACAATGTATTAGAAGGCTCATAGACATCAGTCCACATAAGGGCTTGTATGCTCGAGACCACCAATCCATCAGAGGCATTTTGGGAAGTGGCAAAAAGAGTACAAGCCAGAAGCCTACCCACACACATGCTCAGACAAGGGCCGCCTTATATGCTGATACAAGCGTGCAAGTGAAAAGTGCACCATCTAGCGCCTTTGCGCCCACGCCCATATATGGGCGCGTTCACGTGCATGTTTTCACGCTTCACGTGCTACGTATAAGCCTTCTCTCCTTTTGTTTTTAGAACATAAGTGAATAGGTTGTTCTCATATTTAAACAAGCTTTCCCTCTTCCACATCTTCCATGTGGAATAAATAACCCCACACTTCTCTATCTACACATATAAGACAAAAGACCTTTTTCAAGACTTTGCACTTTACAAAACACTATGAAACGAGAGGGTTATTATTTTAAAAAACATAAGGTATTTTTCAAAGCTAAAATACAACAATTTCTTTTTATTTTAAAATAATATAAAAATATTAGGCAACATATATAATTTGCATACCATGAAAGTATTTTTTGATTTGAACATCTAGTTAATATAAACGCTTCAAAGTACATCAAACTCCATGGTAGCATATAACTGTGAACCAAGGATCTTATCCAATATTCCAGTAGCACCATACACAAGTAACATACATGCTCTGATGATTATTTATTGCCAGCTCATTATGGGGCTTCAGCTTATATCCCTTTTCATGAGCGCTCTATATACAAATCCAATCCCATTGAAAACAGCCTTACTTCCACACTCATATAGGTGAGTCTATCATGAGTGCCCTTGCATATAAGACACTTCAACTAATACCAAACATATAGATCTCATTAAAAGCATAACTCAACCTTCTTTAGCATGTAGGTCATCACTAGACTTATCCATCGTATGGATCTTTTAAGAATGAGTGCTTATAAATAAATTAAACATGTCTAGTGATTTGACTAACTACGCGAACGACTTGTTTTTACCACATTAAATATCAACCTCTTGAGGTAACAGAAGGCCTAGATTGGGTTCCTACTGTTGATGGTTACTTCTGTGGACTCTAGCCTCATTCTATTCAACATCCAACTGACATCTTTCCTTGCAAGCCCTTCCGTCAAGGGATCATCTAAATTATCTTTTGACCTTACAAATTCTAGACTAACCACCCCATCTTTAATTAACATTTCGATGGAGTTATGTATGCCTGCGACGTGTCTGAATTTGCCGTTATACACATCATTGCTTGCTCGAGCAATTGTTGCATGACTATCACAATTAATTGTGATTGCCAGTATCGACTTGGGCCAATATGAAATTCCTTGAAGTAAATTCCGTAACTAGTCCACTTCTTCACAAACAAAATTTAGTGCAACGAACTCCAACTCCAACTCCATAGTGGATAGTGAATCTTTGACTTCCATGCTCCAACTCACATGACTATATCCTTTAAAAACAGCAGGATAACCATTATAGTGTATGTCATAATTGATAGTTCCTTTAATTTACTCATTGCATATGTAATGCCGGGCTTTGTATAGCTCATTGTATGCATTAAACTACCAATTATTCTTGCATACTCAATTTGAGAAATACAGATCCATTCATTTTTCATTAACTCTATATGAGGATCCATTGATGTGAGTGTCAGCTCACAATCACTATGCACATATTATTGAGCATATTTTCAGTGTAATGAGATTGGGTTAACACCAAGGTCCTATCCATTCTCACTATCGTGATTCTAAGTATCATATCGGGCACTCTTAGATCTTTCATATCAAAGTTAGATCCGACAAACCTTTTGGTTTCCTCATAATACCATTATAACCATATTGAATTCATTTCTTTAATTTAATATAGACACTAATCTGCCTTGTTCCTTTTTGGTAAACATTCTTTTTGGAAGTTTTATTTATTGCTTTTATATGTTTATTAATGATCTAATTTTTACTGATGCATTCTACCTATGCAGGTTTTCTCCTTGATATGAAGAATGACAAAATTCAAATTCTCCTTGATGCGAAGTATGAAAAAAAATTGAAATTAAATTTACTATGTTATTTTATAATTTATTTATTTGTTTTTCAATATTTTATCCTAGCAGTACATTTGAATCTAACTGATTTATAATATCATCATAACTTTTTGTGTTCTAATATATGTTTATCATTTATTTTTCAACAATAATTTTTTTATCAATAATTTTTATTAGAATATGCATATAGATTGATTCTATCATGATTTTCTTATCTTCCCCTTTTTTTGATGTATATTTAAATAGGGTGAATTTTCATTATCTCTAAAGTTGATATTTAAATAACATATGATATTCTAATCCATCGTATTGCTATATGTACATCAATTATTGATATTTTATTATTAAAAAGCTAATATATTTGATTTATTTTGGATTTGTACTCAAATTTATATGAAACTAATTTTTAAAAATTTTAAAATACAAAAAAAATTCATTCCAATTTTTACTTAAAAAGTAAAATTTTATTTTCAAATAATATTTTTTCATCATTACGTTTTTCTCTGTAACTAAATATTTTAATTTCATTAAAAAATATTTGTGAACCTTCATGATTCTTAAAATTTTTTATGATTTAAACATATTATTAAAAAATTATTATTCTTCCAAACAAGAACACCAATTTTTAATTTATAAATTTTATATTCCCATACATATCTATAACTAATTCCTTCTTCTTTTTTTTTCCCTTTTTTATATGTTTTATGAATGGTTTGAAGTTAATTACATTATCCTGATTAAAAATAGGAAACCAACTCTATATTTTTTGGATTTTTAACCAATTTTATTGACTTTTTGGAAAATTGAAATTTTAAAGTGTCTCAAATAAATGGATGTGGTTTATATAAAATTACGGCTTTAAAAATCAAAGATGCATCTCCAAACTTTGTCACGAGATGTAATTTTGGTATTGAAAATTCTTAATTATAAAATTTTAAAGTAAAAAAATAGCTCAAATCAAGTAGATTTATGAACGCATGAAAATCTTGAAAATGGATGGTTTGGATTATATGTTATAAGATGTACTATTTTTTAGACTTGAAATATCTTTCTCTTTCTATATGCATCTCGATGATTTATTCAATATTCTTCCAATATCAAAACAACCTTTTTTTGTTTGCTGGTGCACTTTAATTCTACTTTTTAAGGTGTCTACCTTATATAAACCTTTTCCCAAATAAAATATGTTGTACCCAATATAAAATCAGTTTTAGATATGTTGTACCCAATATAACATTGAATTCATTACGCTTCAAAGTTTAATTAATGACATTCATTTTTATGAGAGCTTTTTAAATATAAATTGCGATTATTTTATTCAAATTTTCAATATTTTAAATTTTATTTGTAATTATTTTCCAAAATTTTTACAATGAAATTCTAAATGCTTACAACTCTGATACATTGATATAATTCTTGGGATTGTATGCAATGAGACCATTTTTACCTTTGATACAAGGTGATCACAATTCATTACAACCTTTTGATGTGAAGTTTGATAGCTTGGATGTGTTACAAAGTTCGAAAAAATTTCTTTTCAAGTATGAGCTTGATCAATTAAATAATTGTAGTCACTAATTTAACATTCAATCATCAAGATTAATGTGACCACCTTGTATCAAAAGTAAATGTTCTCATTCTAAACTTTCCCATAATTTTTTAAGATGTTGAAATAATGATGTTTGACTTCCATCTAACATTATGTTTGTATATTGAAATTGTATTACTAATTTTATTTATTCTTTTATTTAGTTTTATTTTACTCTCTCTGCTTACATTTTATAGTAAAATGTAGGGAAATTGTCATAAATATACCTTAATTTTCGTCAAATTGGAAAAAAACCATTAACTTTCATAAACATCGTCCACACCATTTTTTTCTCAATTTTGTCATTTTTTGGATCAAAATAACTTTCACGATAATCGTATTACTGTAATGACTACCGGATTACAGTACTTTAAGTACCGTAATGACTATACTAAGTATTACAATACGTTAAGCAACGTAATGGCTAGGTTAAGTATTACGGTATTTTAAAGACCGTAATGCTCACTGAGTCTTTTTATCCCTCATTTGCCACATCTGAACATTACGGCCTTTAAAGTACTGTAATGCTTAGCCTGACCATTACGGTATTTAAAGTATCGTTATTCTTAGCCTGATCGTTACGACACTTAAGTACCTAATACTTAGCCTGATCATTATGATATTTAAAGTACCATAATAAGTTAATACAACTACCGCAAAAGTTATTTTGGTAAAAAAAAAAGCCAAAATTGAGGAAAAAAAGGCGTGGACAATATTTATGAAAGTTGAAGGGTTTTTTCAATTAGGAAAAAATTAAGGTATATTTTTTATAATTTCCTTAAAATGTATTATTAATTTATTTTTTTCTCTAAACTGTTTTCGCTATTCTTCTCTCTCTCATTACATGTACACTTGCAACGCACATTAACCTACTGGTATTCTTACGAAGGGTGAGGTGCTTGCAACGCACATTAACCTACTAGTATTCTTACGAAGGGTGAGGTGATGGTCCCTAGAGGCAATATGGTACTGAGAATGGCATGCACGTAGCTTTTACAGTATGCTGTCAACTGCAACAAACTTACAACTGCTAAAGCAATGCCTCCCTTTAACCCCTCACATTCGCAGCTACTCTCTCGCTGTACCACCACACTTGCTTAGGGACTCGGATCTATATGCCTTTCTCCTCCAGTCATGCACTTGGAACAAGGATATCAAGACTGGAGGAGCAATTCATGGAAGAGTTATCAAGTCAGGCTTTGAAAACCAAGTATTTGTATGCAACAACCTGCTAAATCTTTATACCAAGTTTTGCGATATCTCAGATGCCTCTCGCTTGTTTGAAAGAATGCAGGAACGGTCAATAGTCTCATGGAACACTATGATAGGGGCTCATTTGCAGAGAAAAGAAGAAACCAAGGCTACACACCTCCTCCGACAAATGCTCCGAGCTGAGAACAAGCCTAATGCCTTCACGCTTTCTTCCATATTCCAGGGCTTTGAGGGCTCAGCTGCCCTTGAAAAAGCAAGGCAGCTTCAAGCTCTCACCTTAAAACTTGGTCTCATCCTTGACCTTTTTGTGGGAAGCAGCATAATTAATATGTACTCCAAATGTGATTGTTTAGCCGACGCAAAGGGGATTTTTGAAGAGCTTCCTGCTCGGGATATAGTCACTTGGTCGACAATTATAGCAGCCTATGCAGACAGCGAGCAAGTCATGGAGGCCTTGAGGATTTTTTGGAAAGATGAGACATGAGGAGATGGCACCCAACCACTTTTCTTTCTCTAGTGTCCTGAAGGCGTGTGCTGGCCTCAAGACACTTGATGCGAGTAAGCAAATTCATTGCCTTTCAATAAAAACAGGGTTTTGTTTAGATTTAGTTGTGGGTAATGCCCTGGTTGATGCTTACTCCAAATGCGAATACATGGATGAGGCTTGGAGGGTCTTCGATGAGATGCCAAATAAAGATGAGATTTCTTGGACTACATTAATTGTTGGCTACTCTCAAAATTGTATGGGAAATGAAGCTCTTTCAGCCTTTAAGCTCTTGAGGAATAGAGGAGTGGATCCTGACCAGTATATGTTGGCAAGTGTTATCAGCGGTTGTGGTGCCATTACATCTGAGATTCACGGTAGGCAGCTCCACTCTTACTCTATCAAAGTTGGTTTTGGCTCTAGCCTCTTCGTGCAAAATGCACTGGTGGATATGTACTCCAAGAATGGGAGCATCAAAAGTGCACACAAGGTCTTCGGTTTCATGGAGAATCGAGATGTAGTATCTTGGACATCGCTTATAGTAGGCTTAGCACAGCATGGCATGGGGGAGAAGGCCCTCTTTCTCTTCGACCAGATGAGGATGGCCCATGTGAAACCTAATCATGTCACCTTTGTCGGTGTGCTCTCTGCTTGCAGCCATGTGGGTCTGGTCGATAAAGGTCTATTTTACTTTGAATTGATGTCCAAAGACTATGGAATCGAGCCTGGGTATGACCACTTCGTTTGCATGGTGGACCTTTTGGGTCGAGTCGGTAACTTGGAGGAGGCTAAGAAGTTCATCGATGAGTTGCCAATTCCCCCTGGCCCTCTTGTTTGGCAAACTTTTCTTGGTGCTTGCAAGCTCCATGGAAATGTAAAGTTGGGGAAGCTTGCAGCTACTCATGTTCTCGAACTGAGCCCACATGACTCCTCAGTCTATGTTTTGCTTTCTAACATGCATGCAGAAGCAGGTTTGTGGGAGGAGGCTGCTCGGGTCCGAAACATGATGAGAGAGAGAGGCGCTAGGAAAGAGGTCGCCTATAGTTGGATAGAAGTTAGGCGTAAGGTGCACAAATTTGTAGTGAGGGAAAGCATGCACCCTGAGGTGGAGGAGATAAATGAACTATTGAAAGTTTTGCTTAGGCATATGGAAGTTGATGGGTATGCTCATAATGGACAGTCTGCATTGAGGGGAGATGCAGAATAGTCAACTCTAGCCACATGCCCACCTTTGAAATTGTCTTCACGATTCTTTATAGAAATGAGATAGCCAAGCATTGTCTATTAATAGAAGAAAGTAAAAAGACATAATGCGAATTACAGAAGCTGTATCTCAGCTGTGATGGCTATCTGTTTTTCTTCATGAAAAAAGTAGAGGAAGAAGTAAAATACGAATCACAGATACGAATATCAAAGACTTAAAAGGAAAGATGAGATGTTTGAAATACTCTTACTATGTAAACATTGCTCGAACCCTAGTTGTAGGGACCCAAAAAAGTAGTGAATAGTTCTTGTAGAAGTTCGCTACAAAACTTTAACAAATTCCATTTTTGAATTTCAATGACAAAATGAGTTCCTAAAACTCCACAGTTATCTGAACTTACCTTAAAGCACTGGTGTCTGTATCTGCCGTATATCCATTGTGCACAGGCCCCCCCCCATTTAGATTTGAGGATTTCTTACTGCCCTTGCAACAACTCGAGTTTCGACTGCTCAAGACATACAAACTTGGTACGGCACAGCTGGTCACCTTGGCAACATCAGCATTTGTAAGCTATTATGTGTATAAGTGGGGTTTTGTCCCCACCTCATGAGAAATGATGAACCAATCAGCTCATATTTGTGAAGGTTCCTTGTGGTGTTCTGGGCACGTAGTTCTCCAACACTTGATGAAAATTTACAAATCAGGACAATTCGCATGGCGTCGTAGTGGGGAACCACCTTTACTTATTGATTAGATTAATGAGTTGAGAAGGCATTCTCAAGAGAGCTGCAGGGTATAACCTCTCCAGAATAAGGCTGCTCAACATGTCAAATTTTATCTGCTCTTAAGTATTGTTTGTGAAAACAAATCATTGTTTACTGTAACTTATGTTAGTTTTTCTGACTTCAGAACATACCACTGATTGCTGGTTTCCTGCCAACCAATTTGACATTTATGAGAGAGCATGACATTTCTTGCAACATACTGCCATGGAACATTTCAACGCATTCAGTGGTCGTTGGAGGTGTGATGCCTAAACAAATGCATCATATAAAAAAACATATATATGTGCATCCGTGCACGCGCGTGTGTGTGTGTGTTTTGTATGGAAAAATTACCAAACGTTCAAAAGCACACTTTCTAAATAAAATGCCAATTAAGGGTACAATCTCAAGAAAATAAGTCTCAACTCCAAAGCTGGACTAGAAAAATTAAGAGTATTCTATGAGCTCGTTTCAAGCTCCTTCCATCATGCTTACATTACTGCTCAAAGCGAAAGAAGATGCACCACATAATTACAAACAACAATGTTTAACATAAAATGCAGCCAAATGACAGCTCAAAAAGGAAAAAGCCTACACCACCTTTTGCCATCACTAGTGCAATTTCCTGCGCATGTTTAGGGGCACTCTAAAATGGATCTCATACTATGATACAAACTGCACAACTTTGTGTGCCATTAGAATCAACAAGCTTACATCTTAAATAGCTTCTTGCCAGGCAGTCAGCACCTCTGAAAATCACATCAAATCAGAGACCTCCTTGGACAGCTTGAAAACAGGTACCAGGAGGAAAGAAGTTTTGTATGGAAAACTTACCAAACCTCATGGCTGATAAGACATTACTATCAATGCATCTGGTCATGCTCCTCTTTGGTCTTGATAGGATCTTTTAGACAAACCTGTTGATCAGAGGTAAGAGGTTGGGTGGTATTGCAATGCAGCTTCTGTTCTTTGAGTTCCATATCAACAGGAGATGGAGGGGTGGCCTGAATAGGGTTGAGCTCAGGGTTTGGTGGCAATGATAACTTACTAAGGTTCACTAAAATGTGTGACTCAAGTGGCAATGTATCACTATTAGACCTTTTGAATGGATCCGAGGCCCTGTGGAAAAGTAAAAAAGCAATAGACCTATCTATGGGATTTGTTTCAGTCTCCATGTCAATTAATCCTGCAGACCTGCAATATGACACCTCAAAAGCTGTTACTCAACTGGCAATCTGCTATAGAAGTTAAACAGAGGAAAGCCCTACTATATTTAAGTACTTAAACAACACACACACTCACACATGCATGCTCTGATTTAGTGCATTTGTGTGTGTCCTCTGTAATTTGGATGAGGTTACAAGGATCTTCTCCCATGTTTACTCTCTTGATTGCAGCATTTTCATAAGGTTTTCTCAGCCGGAGGTTGGGCCACACAAAGCATGTGAAGAGTCAAGATGAGTGTGTTTACCAATTGCAAGTTTCAATAATAATCAGATAGTGCTGAGCAATGTACTGCCGAAAGATGAAGATCACTGTTTTTGTACTAGGCCAAGAAGACTCGGACTCGGCCGAGTTACTCGGCCTCGGCCTATGGACGAGGCCAAGTACCATGTACTGATTTTATCTATATGTTGTATATCTTTTTTTTTATCATATGTGGTCGAGTTGGCGTTTTGGCTGTTATACACATCCCAGAAGTCTCCTGTATAAGGTTCGAATCCCGCAGACATAATCCCAATTTTTTATAAAAAGTAGATGTTTTTTATTTTATTAAAAATAAAAAAATGAGCCGTCTTATTGTATTAAAAAATGGAGCGTGCTGGAATACGGGGTTTGACATGGGATTTGATACCTCAATGTCTAGAAGAGCTCCATCGCCCTTACCAAGCATGCTACTCAATGTCGAGTGCTGTGAAAGAGCTCTTTCACCCTCTTTCACCAACACGAGGTGACAAAGAGACACAAAACGTAATGTAAGGTTACAATGCAGCACAAATAGTGCTCTATTTGCCAATCTATCATAGCCGATATCGGTATTGGTACATGAAACAGTGGATAGGTTTTGGACGTATTCTGCTTGTTACTTCATAGTTCATCAAAATTTTAAGACACTACCTTGCCTAGGAACTTACTACATTGATAATGTCTAAATAATATTATAATAACGCTTATCGTCTACCAAATCACCTAGGTCATATCAAGGATGATATATAAGCCTTTTAAATTGATATTTATCACCTTCCTATTATATCTTGACATATGGTTTCAACCATTATATGCTTGACCGAGATTTCAGGAAAGGCTGAGTCATATCTCCACTTCTCATGTCCATCTCCATGCCAGTATCCATGCCCAAGTATCATGGCAAGGTTATAACAGACGAGCCGTCCGTCCAAAGCTGTCCAGAGAAGGGACAGCTGAACTATACTCTTGACCTTCCCAACTATGCAATTTTGAATGATAAGGTGTCCACCATCAATTGTGTGAAAGTCAGTATCAGTAGATAATTAAAGTTCTACCATCTGCAGTATTAGTAGATAACTTAAATGAAGTTCTACCATCTGCTAAAGTCTTCTGGCAGTTGATGCAACTACCAGAACAGTTAGTCATGCAGAAATAATTGAACAATTTGCATCATTTAATGTCAGCATATCCACGAGCAATGCAAGACTCAGAGGCTACCCAAATGCTACAATTAATAAGGCTAGTGCTCTACATTAAGATCCCAGAAGAAAGGAAAATTTTAGCACCACTAACATCCTCAAAATGCACTTCTTTACCGTCAACAGCTGAATAAAAAATTCAATAGTTCATGTCATTCAAGATACTGAGGAATCTTTCAACAGTTTACTTGATATCTTTCAGGAAGTGCATTTCATAAAGGACATTAATTATTTAACAGATGCTCAAACATCCATCTACGATGATCGTCAGTAGGAATCAAGGGTTCAAAAGTCAACAACAGAAGACAATCTAGACTGGTGCCTGACTAATGCTCAGGATTTTCTATGTAATTGTGTGCACTCAATGTGCTTGCGTGTGTGCATGCTTATTTGTGCAATGTGGATGATAACACTGAAAGGGGAAGCATGTGCTTCTCTGTAAAATAAGGTATGAACAAACAAAGACCTATGCATCACGGGGTCAGACAGGAGCAGACTTCAGGTCCCTAAACATCGCATGCTGTCAAGTCCTAAATTTGTTTAACGTCTTGAAGTTTCTCCCCAACACAGAAACCCCCCAAACCTTGTGAGAAAGAATCACTCCACCTAGCATTGATGAGAACCTTGAGCCTCAGCGCTCCTACCCCATGTTTCCTAAACTGAAAGGATATGGGCCCCATCTGGTCAAGGGAGTCAGAAAAAGTAAGATGGGGGGTTGGTCTAAAGAGGGCTTTGTAAGAGCTAGTAGGTTAGCCTAGGGTACTGGCTCACCGACACTCCCATAACAAGAAACCAGTCAAACCTGTTTAACCGGAGGGGACCACAGAAGGATGTTTGGTGAAGAAGGAAAGATATGTGTCAAGTTATAATTTTCTTTTTCCTTTTTTTTTCCCCCCTTTGCTAAGTCAGCTTTATCATTTCTTAAGATACAGGAAATGAAATTCTGGGATTGTTTTCATCTCTCTTATCCCATACAATAATTTATTATAGAAAACAAACCACTGGTCTAAACGAACAGAAGTACTGGGTCTAGAGAAAAAGCTTTTGTTGCAATTCTGGAAAAAGCTGAATATAACAAGTTGAAGATAACAAACATACCTTCAGTGATGGAAGGAAATTGGGATAATATCACCAGGAAAAAAAGAAAAGAAAAGAGGGGGGGATTAGAAGCATTATAATAACTCAGTTTGAGCATGAAATGGAGTAGGATACCAGAAGCACCAAAAAAGCATCAGAAATAGAGGGCTATGTTTATTACTATTCAACATGGAGTATCAGTTTCTAGTGCATAAACTCATCCGCAAGTGATTTATGAGAAACCAGTCATTGCCACTTTATGAACAATAATTATTCACGACAGCACTTCGTGTGATGGTAAAAGGCTCGGTAGCCAGCGCAAGAGCGCGGGTTCGAGTCCTGAGAGCGACCACTTTGTGCATAAAAAGCTAAAAGTTAGGACCGTTTCCATCTCACCCCTCCCGGGAGCCTGCGTAGGCAGGACTAGCACCAGGTTACGGCCCTTTAATTATTCACGATAGCAAAAGCATTTATTCAAAATGAAATCCAGGGCTCACATTAGAAATATCCGTAAAAACATAACTTCCTTTGTTTCTTGACAAACAAGTAAAGAATTAATATTTCTCCAACTTGAGAGGAAGTTGAAAGAAGGTAACTTATCAAAGAAGGTAAAAATATGTGGTTAAGAGAAAATTTTATGTAGCCGTTTGCCATGTTATTTTTGTGCACATGTCTCTTGTGTCTAATGTTCGTCTTAAAGACTAACATATAGAATATATCAAATATTTCCTTGTGTTAGTATAAATAATATAACTGGCTCCATTACTCCCAAGGCCCTCTAGTTTTCCTTTTTTTCTGTTTTGTTTTTATGGAAGAAATATTTGACTACCTGACACCTTGTATGAATGACTAGGAAGCCTCAATCATATGGATTAACAGCAAGTACATAGAGATGTCTGAGAAATCTACATCCATGATTACTAAAACAGAAGGTTCAGTTAAATTGATATTGACCATCTAAAAGTGTCGTGAGCGTATTCAAGATTGCGACATAGGATAAGTACGTCTAAGTACCAAAAGGCTCAAAATTTTGACACACAATATTTCAATGCAAGCAAACTGATTAGTGATGTAAGATTCCATTATAGTCTCTACCTGCTAAACTTCAACTCATCATGTGTACTAAATTCTTCTGAAAAGGGAAGTCCTTTTTTACTGCTGCTGCTTGTGTCATTGATATGATGCCTCTGAACTGCACTCCTAGCCAGCCGGTACAAACCATCCCGTATGCAGAGCTTTGTTTTTAGATCCAACTGAAACAAATAAAGTGTGTAACTTATCTGATGCAATTCTTTTAAATAAGGGAAATTTACAAGCAGAAGATTAAGCAAGTGTAATTTGACTTAAAAAAATCATATTTCGAATAATTGGAAAGTTTGGTGACTCTTTTCTTTCCACTCTCAGCCAGATTTGCCCTTGCTCTAATACCCCACCCCCCCCGCCCTCGTCAAATAGAATAAAATAAAATAAAGAAATCCAATGTACAAAAAATAGGATAAGATTAGTCAAAAAGTGGAGCCCACTATTTCTATTCATAATATTTAAATAAGGGAAATTTGTCATAAATATTCCTATTATTTTGCAGAATTAAAAAATTGTCTAAATATCGGGTCCAGGTTCCTTCGGGTCCCGGGCCTACCTGTCAGGTCCCGGGTCTATCCGTCAGGTCCCGAGTCTACCCATCAGGCCCCGGGTCTACCCGTCAGGTCCGGGGTCTACCCGTCAAGTCCTGGGTCTAGTCGGGTCCATTACCACTCTATAACTATGAGTTTTTTTTTTCTTTTTTTTTTGTCTTTTTTTTTTTACTATCGAATACCCATATTATAGGCAACAATGTCACAATCACCAGCCATTAGATTTCAAGCCCTCTGATTTGTTGTTTAATAGCTACAGATAACTACACAGGTCCTGGGTCTGGTCGGGTCCATTGCCACCCTATAACTATGAGTTTTTTTTTTTCTTTTTTTTTTATCCTTTTTTTTTTACTATCAAATACCCATATTATCGGCAACAAGGTCACAATCACCCGCCATTAGATTTCAAACCCTCTGATTTGTTGTTTAATAGCTAAAGATAACTACAAGTTCTTATTGTATACAATCCTTAATACACCCAAACAAATAGGCTTAAAGTAAAGTATTTTATCTCCAACGGTTTATGGGTACGGGCTGGGTCCGGCTGGACCCGGACCCAAATAGAGTTCGGGTCCAAGTTTTTGACCCTGACCCAACCTGTCGGGTCCAACATTGGATCCATACCCAGACCCGAGGTCGGGTCTACCCATCGGGTCCCGAATCTGGTCGGGTCCATGGCCACCCCTACTACATATTCCGTATTTTACGTTCATGTCCCAATTTTTTAGAACATGTATCATATTTAAATTTTAATGCTTTTCCTGTACATCAAATTAAATGCGAATTTTGGGTACCCATACTTCTCATAAAAAAATATTTTTTAAATGCATAAAATGACCAAATATGTCTAAGACTTGTACAGATTTACAGATGCATGATGAGAAGTACAGACACAATATTTGATCTCCATTTGTTGTCTAGAAATAAAGATAAAGTTTGAAACACTAAACATGTTCTTAAAAAGTAGGACATGAATGTAAAATATAAAACATTGCAGACTTCATTAAATATATTTAGGTCTTTCAAGCTATTCCGTGTTTGGAAAATTAGTCCAAAGGCAAAATAGGCATGGACTAAAAAGAACAGTAAAAGGCATCACAAGTTTTCTAAAGAAAAATACAACTGGAGCTTTTACTTAGTAATCAGGAACTACTATATGTATTATTCAAATTCAATTGTGCACAAATTAGTGATGAATTTGCACAAATTAGTGTTTATAGATTTTGCGGTCAATTACTAGAGTTTTCACATGTAAAGGAAAAAAAATGTCAAAAGATTCCAAATTCATAATGACTTAACCTGTGACATTACAGAACTACTATGTGTATTACTCAAATTCAATTGTGCACAAATTAGTGATGAATTTTCACAAATTTATAGATTTTGCCGTCAATTACTAGAGATTTCACATCTAAAGGAAAAAAAATGTCAAAAGATTCCAAATCCATAATAACTTAACCTGTGACATTACATCCTGAAGCTGGCGGAAACTTGTTTCTTCCAAGGAAATTTCATCAGATGACATAGAACTCATACAAGAGCGATCATGAGTAGTTGAATCCATCTCAACCGCTGAAAAATCCGTGCTCTTGTCTTCTACTTCTCTTTTAACTTCAATCTCCTCAGAACTCTGAGTTTCTTGTGATTGTTTCTGAACTGAAGGGCGATCACAAGAACTTTGACACAATTGCTGTTGTGATTGGTTATCAACTGCTAATGTGGCTCTTATTTGCTGGCGTCTCCGCAATTTTTCTATCTTTTCTTGTGGGGTCATAAATAAAGGACGAGCAGCAGATTCCATGGTTCTCTTCACGGTTTGAGAATTATTAGAATCTATTGAGAACTTATAACCAGCAACGACCGGTTGACCCTGGTTATGAGACTTAATATTTGGCATGGTTGGCATCACTGGAATTTGATTCGGAGGATAACCATACCCTACATGCATGTATGGAATGTTCGTCTGCAGGTATCGGAAGGAATCAGGACCCCAGTATTGCTTTTGCTGGGAAAGGAGTGGAGAAGGAAAAACTTGCATGGCTGATGGAGCAGATGTAGCTGGCCTTAAGCTCATGAACTGTTGCACAGACCCATTCACATTTAAAGGATTACTGCTTGGATGTTCCAGGGTTTGATCTTTGCTTTTTCCATCTAGTTGCTTTCTGTTCTTGGATTGCTTCTTTTGCATGTTAGCCTGTGACAAGGATATATTATGATTCTGAGAAAAGAATTTAGTTTTGAAGCAAGAAATTTGTCAAGAATTGAGCACTGTACATTTCCTGGACAATACCCAAGCACAAATTCTCATTAGCAATAAGCCATTTTTCTTTTTCTTTTGCTATTAAAATTAATAATTTGCCAGAACAACAAAGAAAAGAGGCCAACAAGAGAGCAATCAAAGTAACAAATATGTCAAAGAAAATGGACTTTGGAATGTGCATGACAGATTGGTATATTAGTCATTAAAAGCTTAGACTTAAATATGAGCTGCCAGTAATGATATCCCAACTTAATATGTTTTGGCGCATTTCTTCTATTAATGAACCATGGTTATTACCATATCAGTGTTCCTCAAACAACCCTTCTCTTTATGAACCTGAGATTGGGATTCTACTTTCTCTTCTTTCCTTCCATTAGACTCATGCAGCTGCAAGAAGACAACCATATGCTATAGTCATAAGAAATTTATATTATATGTTTCTTGGGGAAAGTAAATTCATATTATTAAAAAGATACAAACTAAAGTGACCGACCTCGCCCCTAATCTTGCTTGTCTGATCTTTCGACATAGATGTTTCTTTACTTTGAGCATCTCCATCTTGATGACTAACATTAATGCCGAAAGAGTTTAAAGATCCATCTGCCCCTGAGTTCCAATCCGATGTCTGCAGAATGCAAGAGTTGGCTTTTTTATCAGAATCACATGGAGGATTTTCACAAGGCATGAACTCCATGCCGGCCTCATATTGTTCTGATTTTCGCTTCAGAGCACTAGAACCTGAAGGAGACCCCAAGCCTGATTTCGAAACCTCTCCAGGGCAATCAATTGGACATGGAGACGAAGGGGCCCACAATAGTTCATCTCCATTACCAGAACTCCCTTGACCATATGTGGAATCACATGTTCTGCAGAATTGCAACACATAGTATAACAATTATAAGAGACAACTAATTTGCATATGAATAAAAGAATCTCAGAATGGGAGGAAACCGAAAACCGTAATGATCCCAATAAACACATGGATACATGCCACCAAACAACATAAAATGCATCTCTCTCTCTCTCGCTCTCTGATGTTATCAAAAGATCCAAATTGGATCTTTCTTGAGGCAGGCAGTACCTGAACATTCTGTCAATATCTTCAAAGTTCCCAATACTGGGCCATCCATAATCCATGAGGTTGCTATTATTCTTGTCATCATGCTCATTTCCAAAAATCTCAAGATCGCTCTCTGGTGGAGAAAGATCAATAAATAAGAAGTCACATAAGTTACTCTCAGTTGCACTATCTCTATTCCCAAGCATAGGACCATCCACACAGAAATCTGACATCACATCACTGCCTGCTCGCTCTGCATTATTGTTTTCACAGCCATTGTCTGAAATTTTGCTTTCCCGAGAAGCAACGCCTGCTTTATCTGCACATTCTGAATAGTATGCAGCGGCAAATTCATCAGCATCCATATTGGACCATGACCCAGTTTCCAGCAGTGGCGTGGGTTGACCACCCTTTGAGTGCATATCATACTCCTCCTTTCCATTGGAATCATTATGGGATCCAGATGTCTTGCTGTCAACAACTCTTTCAACAACATTCACTGCCTCACAAAACTTCCTATGAGAATCTCCTTGAAGAAGGGAAGAAGGCTCTTGTTCTCCACCTGGCTGAGGCACTATGTGGTCACCACTCTCACTCAACTCGTCCCAAACAATATCTTCAAGCTGGGGATTTCTGAGATCAGTTAGCTTAGGACATTTAACTGTAGTTAAAAATATATTGTTCACCTAGAACAATAAAGATCATATTCATCAAAGTGCCTAAATTTAAAACATCATTTATCAAATGTTGGAGTAAAGAAAAAGAATGAAGAAACAATAGCCAAAAGCCTTTCATGTGCTAGCAATTCCCTTAAAATTTGAGTAAGAAAAGTAACAATAACAACAACCGAACACAAGATAATGAGCACCTGAAAAATTTCTAAAAATGAAACCTATAACTAAACTGGTGACGACTCCTTCCATAATCTATTCTATCGGGTAGTCTCAGATAACTCCCATCACATTAAAGCCTAGTCTTTTGAGTAGCACAAAACAAAATAATTAAATGGTTTTTCTGGTTCAAAAATCTTTGATCATGGGTCATGATGCATCGACATTTCTCCTGTCATTAGAAGTTGAGACATTCCTTGGCAATCACTAGAAACCTCGGGTTCATTTAGGGACTAATATGAATGAGCAACATTTGTACTGCTTCTCCATGATGAACATTGCACAAGTGGATACAATATACGTACATACTTGATTCCAAAATGACCACGTGTTTTGTCTTCCTAGGCAATACTAGATGGTAAATGGATATTGCACTCCGATTGTGACAACTCAGTGCATAACTATTTAACTAAATCACAATATATATTATATAATACAATGATTTACATGTATATTTGGCCCTGGTACTTGACCTGGCCACAATCTCCTACTGGTTACTACTTTAACATGCAAAATAAAAATCCTTGAAATGACCTAAATAACTTATTGGAAGCATATTTAACCTTACTGCTTGAACTGGCCACAATCTTGTACTGGTCACTACTTCAATATGCAAGATAAAATCATTGCAATGGAAATTCTACAACTTTGGGGCTTGCCTTTGAGAAACATGATGAAAACCTAAATAAATTGCCTTCCAAATTTCTAATATACGTAAAGAACTTCTTAGCAGTCACGGAATGTGGCACTCTGAAAACATTGTGACAATAACAACTATGCTGACTGCATGGACTGTGTATGGTAGAGATCGTGTATTATAGCCTACAAACAAAGCGTAAAAGAATTCTATAGCCAGGGACTTTTGGAACTTAAGTCCCCTTTTAGCTTAGGACTTACCTCCATGAGAGTGAGGTCGTAATATAATAAATCAATGTCTTCAAGTAATTCCAATGAAGATTTTTGTTTGTACCTTGCACACCCAGATACATCAATATGCTATTACTGATATCAACACAATATGATACCAATAGTGATACCGGATACATATAGGATAATTGTAAATAAAACATGATACAAATGTAAGATTAGGATGTGATTAAAATACATAAGAGTCATTTCTGAGAAATACTATGAATATTTAAAAATATATCCAGAAAATGCAATGTACACATAGTTAAGGGAAATTATCCCACTATCCCCTATTTTTAACTTCTATATCTCATGATACCCAAGAAATGAAAATATTACTTGTAAGCAAAAAGGGTCCATCTTTTCTATCTTACAATCCCCTGGATCCCTTGACTATAAATTTTTTTACCCTAAAACAAATTAAAATGACACCCTACCCTTTTCTTCTTTTCTTCTCTGTTAACGTGACCCACCCTCTTTCTCTCTCTCATCACCGTCTCTCTCTTACAACCCCAAGGAATCAAAGCAAGATTTTTTTCACAAGCCAGGAGACTTGAGCAAAAGGGTATCATTCTCATTCTTCGACTTGAGTGGCTTCCTCGACTTCTTTGCCGGACTGGTTCAGCTTCTGCAACAACCGTCGCCATAGCAAGAGAGAGAAAGAGAGAGACTGTTCATTTGTAGAATCGGAGAAGGAGAACCTTGTCCGTTTGTCAATGGCTCCCAAGGTCTCAGCCAAATAAGAAGAAAAGTAAAGATAAATCAGTGGAAGAGGAGTTGAAGGAAGTGAGGGAAAAGCTCAAAAAGATGAGACTTGAGAAGGAGAAGGCAGATGAGATACTGAAGGAGAAGGATGAGCTTTTGAAGCGGAAGGCGGAGGAGATAGAGAATAGGGGGAAGGCACAAAAGAAGCTAGAGTCTGAGATCAAGAAGTTGCAGAAGCTGAAAGAGTTTAAGCCTAATCTGAGCCTTCCTATTGTGCAGGCTCATCCGACAAAGGAGAAAGAGAAGCAACCAAATCCCCCATATATTTTGTGGTGTCAAGAGCACTCGAATCAGATTAAAAGTGAGAATCCTAAAGCAGAGTTCAAGGAGATAAGCAACATTTTGGGAGCGAAGTGGAAGGATTTGAGTTCAAAGGAGAAGAAACCATATGAAGAAAAGTACCAAGCTGAAAGGGAGCTCTACTTAAAAGTCTCAACCCAAAAATTTCTTCACCCCAACTAGAATCGAGCTTCTACAATAGTTGCAGAGCTCTAAAAGTCCTTCATTGAAAGGAAACAATAATTTCCTCAAAGCTCAAAAAATATTTCAGAGCTGAAATGGTGTCCTGCTGCATCTTTGCAAGTGACCAGAGAATCAATCCAAGATTTGTACAATGGGAAAAGAAACCCTTTTTACAAATAAACCCTAATTGCATACAAAAGATGCAAGATTCGTACCAAAATGAAGACCTTATTGGTTGCAGAAGAGAGAGACAAAGAGCTTTGAATCTCTTAGAGGTCAACGCTTGTAAAGTCAAGTCTCGAGAGAGAGAGCTGCCTCGGCTCGCAACAGAGAGAGAAAGCTGTCTCGGGTTTTCGCAAGAGAGAGAGCTGCCTCTGGTTTTAGTAAGAGAGAGATGGAGTTTTGAGAGAGAGAGAGAGAGAGGGTGGTTACGGTTAACAAAGAAGAAAAGAAGAAAAGGATATGGTGTCATTTTATTTTTTTTAGGGTAAAAAATTATGGTCACAGGGGTCCAGGGAGTTGTAAGATAGAAAAGATGGATCACTTCTACTTACAAGTAATATTTTTATTTCTTGGGTCTCATGAGATATAGAAGTTAAAAATAGGGTCTCATGAGATATTTTCCCTTTAGTTAATGTATGATAGTAACATAACAAGCAAGATGCACGTTTCTTTTATTGCAGTTACGATCCCTAAAATTAATTTCTAAACACACCATCTATAAAAAAAAAATTTCCGTAAACCAAAATCCCTAAAATTTGGGTATTAAAGATTATGGATTACGGTGAAACTATGTGTGTGCAAATCCAAAACATTTAATATTAAGTTTGGTTAAGTATAAAGTCTTGATTAAAGAGATGGTTTATGGAATCTCCCTTGATAGAACTCTAACCTAAAGTCTGTCCCTACCATTAATTGGGACTCAATATATATAAAATAGACAAGCCATGTGTGATTATCTTCATAATATCTCAATACTATAGACTCAGCATCATAATGTGAGTACTACATATATTAGAACATCAGATACCATATATCTGGATCCACCGGATTTTGGCACATGTTGTATCACATTGTCACTCCCTCTTACTTAAGCATTTCTATATCTGGGAACATCACTTCTGTACAAAGTTTTACCAAACTGATATTTTGCATAGAGCAATATAAAGAAATGTATTGGAGATATCCAAAATTCCTCTCAACAAACTCATGAAATCTTACTTTTTACTTTTTCACAATCATATCATATCATCAACATAAAGGAATAAAAAGTTCACCTACCTTTATAAACAAAGAGAAGCAGTGAATATGATTTTCCATGAAACCTTCTTCAACCAAAGCTAATGGAAACATGTCAAACGAAGCCCATAGAGCTTCATTCACCCCATCATCATCACGAGAAGTTTTGGCAAAGTTTTATGTTGACTGCCTACCTAACATAACCCACCCCCTTTACTTGGGCTTGAGGTGGGTTAAGGCAGAGTTTAAAGTCGTTACCCTTCTTAGACAGCTTCAATCATCCCATATAAAGCTTTTATTATCCAACAAGCAGTAACATTGTTCAAAGAGAGGGGCAGCAAGGGCCTAGGCGCCTACTTAGGTGCCATAAGGTCCTTTGAGTGCACACCTAGGCCTCGGTGGCCCTCCCAAAGCACTACCCAGGCACCCAGAGCCCAATCCTTGGCAGGTGCCTAGGTACTAAGCCCCTTTTTTCGCAATTAATGTGACCCCTAAGTGCTTTTTTGGGTCATTTTGAACCCACCGAATTTTCTTAAATGAATGTTGGAGTAATCTAAATCCCCAAAGTGAAAAAAAAATCGAATTCCAAATCGATTGATTTTGATATTCCTATTAATCAAAAAAAGAATATAAGGTTTGAGGAAACATCCAAAAGCTTACCCTTTCTTGTATTGGACATTTGGGCTATTTCATCTTGTCTAGTTGTGATTGTATGAGTGTGCCATAGTCAGTTTGGATTGGATAGTTGGCGGTTAATACACCATGGACATGTTTATGTTTGTTTACTTTTTCACTAATTTCAAGGGATTGAAGTTTTAAACATGTTTCAACATTCATACAACCATATTTACATGGAAAAGAGTTCGGTAGAATACAAAAAAAATACCAAATTAACAAAAATAATTGTATATATGTGCTTTTGAAGAATACATGCAACTTTTTACCTCAAGGTGCCTGAGGTTCTAGACTCCTCTTGCCTAGCACCTCGGCATTGGGCACCAGGCCGGCCATATAGCATTGCAGGGCATTGGGCGCCAGGCCAGCCATATAGCATTTCTTGAAACACTACGCATGATTAGGGAAATTCTATCTTGAAGCCTAGAATTAATTCTATTAGTAGTTTTCCTTTAAAATCTCAGCAAGATATGTGATTTTAAAATCCATCATTCACTATTATATCTCCCACTTTTTGGTAAAGGTTATACATATAGTGACTCTTTAATGTTACTATTTTTGTCTTTGAAGATAAACTACTGGATAAAGAGTAATGTTACACCATTATATCTCCCACATTCCTCTGAGCCCCTGATGCTAGATGCTCGATAGTGTTCTCTGCTATCTCCATCTTCATCTTGTGTTATGCTCTCCCCTTCATCTCATCTCACACTAGATCGAAAGTTTCTTGGATCTAAGAAACGAAA